CTTTTATTTTCACTCTGTCCTATCACTCCTCTTTTCTAGTATTTTTCTCTTTTCGTAATAAAAATTGTGTTGGGCGTGTGGCATTTGACCTCGTTTCCGTCTTAATCCCACTCTTGGGATCATCTCAAAACCTCCCCTGACACAGGATCGGGACAGTCTGCTAGAAACGACTTTTCCTGGTGACCTTCACTTCCAGCAAAGATTTGAGTGATGAAGAGTGTCAGCTAAGCTGATGCACATCTGCAGCTTTATCAGGGACACTCCTATCTGGCATAAGCATTGAAAATCAAAGTTAAACCTACGAAAGACAGAGCAAGAGCTTGTGTGCACCAAGGGAGCAGCATTCAGGGCATTATTTCCTGTAAGCAAGACGCTTTTGCCAAATATAACCCATCAGCAGCGTTGACAATTTCTATTGCAGCAAATGACAGAAGTTGGAGTGCAAAACAGACTCCAGCTTCAGCAATATGCAGCATGAGAACCTCCTGAGGAAAAGGAAGCCAAGTTCTGCAGAGGTAACAACCTACCTGATGGCGGTGAAGCCTCCTGTGCTTTCAGTAAACTACTTTCTTCAAGAGAGTTGTTCCCACTGTCATCCCCTTCTTCTGTCTGGTTTTCTTCTGTGGGCTCAGGGGGCAAAGCTGCACTACTGTTGTCCAGGCTCAATTCCACCCCTGCTTCCCCTGCAAGCCCTTCCTTCTGCACAGGTGAGCTTTTCCTTGGTACCTTCAACCTTGTCTTCTTTGTCTGTTTAAGATTGAGTTGGGGGGGGTCCACTGGTGGACTTGAGGATTGTGTCGCAATTTCTTCCATGGCTGGGGCAGTGCTGAGGTGCCCAGAGTCAGGAACAGGCTTTCGGGGTGATGCGGGGGTGTTGTCATCAGACAGTGCAGGGATAGCAGCAGCACCATCTTTTAGGTCCTCAGAATAGTTTTTTGGTGCATCTTCCCCTTCTTTCCATGGTTCTGAAACATGGGCTTCTCTAGAGAAAGCAGAGGAGTCCACCAGTCCATCCTCCACGTGCCGGGAAGGATGCGCCTTACACATCCCATCCAGACCCTCTGATTTATCTAGCTCCACCAAGTCAGCATTTTTATCCAAGTCATCTAAGACATCAGGTTTCTCCACCACATCCAAGACACCAGGTTTATCTAGAACAAGGTCGTTTGATTTGTTTAGTTCAGACAGGCTGCCTGCTTTCACTAGAAGGTCTAAGTCCCCACCTGCATTCATTTGCTTGGATTGATCCCAGTCAGGTTGCTGAAGAACTGAAGCAGCCTGGGTAGAAGCTGTTTGGGAGCCCAGGAGATCTTCCCCAAACTCCATGTCAGCAGGGAGATCACCAATAAGTGGTTTTTCAGACAAGGACAGGGGGTCCAAAGATTGTGAAAATTCACTGGAATCCATTTAGAATATGTCAACTGGAAATGAGACAGAGAGACTTGCAAGTTAATGAAAAGTGGTCTAACGGTGCACGAATTGTCCACTCTTCTGAACACTGTTGGGAATAAAACAAGGCCAAATTTTGTCCACTCTTCTGAACACTGTTGGTAATAAAACAAGGCCCAGTAATGCTGCTATCCCTATCCAGGATACCAAAAGGTCAGTGGCACCCTTACAAGTAGTTGTGGGGTTACAAAACTCTAAAGCCAAGCAGCAGCAGTAGGACACAGCAGACCTTTGGAAACTCTACAGCCTCCACACACCTCACTGCAGCAGGGCAAACAGACCTGCTCACACTAAATAGCACAGTAGGGTATCAGAAATCACTCAAGTACCAATTCAGTAGGCTTCACACAGCTGTTCTGTTCTTCCTCCTTCCCTGCCTTCCTCTCTATCTCACCAGACCCAAATAATATGATCTGTCTTTCTCCTGATATGTTCTCATGGACCTAACACCTTTTATTTTTAAGATATCTTTTCCTCAAACACAGAGGCACAAAAGACTGCTTTATAGCTTTGTAGCCTGTGCCTTGAACAAAGATGCAGGATAACAAGATGCATGATTTTTGTCAGAGGACAGATATAAACACGTATTATTGGTTCTCTCAGTGAGAGTACAAACCACAGTAGCTATCACCATGTCCCCTTCAGGCCAGACCTCAGTCTTCCCGAGTGACTGGAACTGTCTACACAACAGGAGCTGGTAGATGGGGAAAAGAAGGGCCTTTCCTAGAACTTCACCAGCAGCCTCATGACTCCAGTAGCAGTCTTCCAACAGTCCCAAAGCCAGGAGGTACCAAGACCACTGCTAGATTTTTCTACAGCAGGAGCACCAGCTTAAGGTGCAGGCCCCAAACTTAGTATAAGAGCCACCCAGAATCAAGAAAGCCTTGAATCTGACAACACAGAGCAGATGGTGCTGCAGAACAGCACCATGAGTTTCCTGTTCATTCCTGAAAGACAGGAACAACAAAACTAGACTTTGAGCTTCCATTCCAGAAACTTCATCTCAGCTTCAAAATGGCGCAAGAGAGAGAAGATGGTTCAGAAATCTTCTTGCAGAATTGTCTGGAGTTAGGTTTACTAGGAGACTCCTTGCAACAGTTCAAAGGTACTTGACAACATTCCTCAGATCTCAGCATTATATGCTACTAACCCAACATCTCTGTACTAGTAGTAAAATTTTAAGACAATCAATGGGAGCACCCTCATTTATCCAGAATGCCAGAATGGCAGCAGTTTGGAACTGCTTGGATCTTCTCACATCTTTTCATAGGACCAAGATCTCCCTCAAGCACTAAGCATCAAGGCTTTGCAACAGAGAAGTGAACAACAAGCCTAGGTACACACTAAGGCTTTATCTACATGTGTTAAAACAGAGGTCTTAGCAGCAATGCCTGGTGTCTGGAGAGCAATTCAGCTTCAGGAACCAACTCCACTCAAAGAGCAAGTCAGAGGGAAAACTCTCCTGTCCCTTCTACAGCTTTGTGTCTATAGGATGAATAAGCAACATTTCTTCTAAGGCTCACCACACGCCACATGACAACTTCAAGTAAAATAGTGTTATACACAGGGGAAAGGGGTGTGTGGGTAAAATAGCTTTGGGAGCACTACCTGAAGAGTAACAAAAAAAGCACAGAGGTGCACAACGAACTCAAGAATGTCTGTTGAAACTGCCCTACTGATACTAAGACACTGATTAAAAGAAATAGTCAGAAATAGTATACCTGGAAGTGGTAAAAGAAAAAAAATAAATAAATGATGGTCTTCAGATCTCTACATGTTGCTCAAATGCTACAGGAGGGTGTCAGACCATTTAACACAAGGCCTTGGACACCTCCCACAAGCAGCCACAGCCAGCTGGAAAGGAAAGCTGCAGACACAGCAGGTCACTCTCCAAAGAAGAGTGCTACAGCCTGGGAACAGGCCATGGACTCCCTGGCTCTGGAGGTCCTCAAATCTCAACCAGACAAAGCCCTGAGCAACATGGTCTCAAGTCAGCTCTGTTGTGAGCAGGTCATTTGGACTAGAGACCTCCACAGGTCCCTAATCCTGTCTATGGTTCTTCAAATAAACCTTACAATGCAGGGAAGGGAGTGAAGGCAAGAGGGCACTCAGAGTCTCAGGGTGCATCTTTAAAGGCATAACATCTAATTCTCCTTAAGTGACCTTACAGAGCCAAAATACTTGAAGCACAAGAGGAACTGTCTCCTTGACCTCACTGACAGTCCCCCTGCAAGGTGCCTGCTGCCAGGTCCCTAAAAAGGTGCCTCAGCATTGGCATGCTTCACCTCACATGGAGCTGCACAAACCAGCCCTGGGTAACCCTGTGCTCAACCCATGTCTCACCCAGCCTAATAATCAACTCCCTTCTTTTTACACTGCCAAGGGCTGAGCCAGCAGAGTAGGGTTACAGTAAGTGGCCAGAAGACACCACTAGAACCCACAGCCAGCAGAACCGGTGAAGATAGTTGCAAGCACTGCCCTTTCCTGACCTGAGCTGCCAACGAAGGAAGAAGTTAATACTTAAAACACTCTACTGAGATAAAAACAATGCCAGTGAAATCCTGCTAGCACGGCCTTCACTAAACTAACAAATTCATTGTCACAGCTGTAGCCTATTCCATACTTCCTTTAGATTGCTTTCACCATAACCCATCTGCACTAGAGGCTTCTGCTAGCACACCTGTACCCACCAGAGTCACACAACCCAACATCACTGACCATAAAACATCTGTAAAAGAAATACCATCATGGTCTTTGCTCCCAAAGTAAGGCCAAAGCTCCCAAAGAAACCATTCAGCTGAGCATCCTATCCCCTACCATCACCTGACACAGACCACGTCCAGTGCTGCCTCTGCCCACACAAGCATATCCAACTGCCAGGGCCTTTCCTGTGCCAGGCACATGCTACAGCCAGCTCCCAACCTCACTGGTGCACACCCTCTTGTCTGAGGCCGGTCCTGCCCCCACCTCTGCAAAGCAAACGAGGTACTGATGCCTCCCAGGGCACCTCGCTGGCCGAGACCACACTGCTCACATGCAGCCTGGCTTGGAGAGAGTTCAGGAGACTGGGGCTTTGCCTCCTCCAGTGGCCCAAGGCAGCTTCAGCCCCGTGAAGCTGCACCTCTCTCTTGCAGGGTGCAAGAGCAGCACATCCTCAAGAGCAGCACATGGCACCGAGGGCTACGCACACGCGCCAGGCCTCGGGGACACCCAAACCTTGCCATGCTCCAGACCCACTACAGCCGTACCAGGGGAAGGCAGGCAGGCAGCTGCGTTTTTTGTGAGTTACACAGACTTCTTTACTACATGTAGTGATAACAGCACAAAAGCTGTGTTCCCCAAGCCTCTGCCCAAAATGCACGGAGAGATGAGCGGAGGAGGGTGCTGGGGCTGAGCACGGGGTGCACAGCGAGCTTCAGAGCTGCCAGGTGCCAGGAGAAGACTTGGGGACGCTTACTGACACTGCAGCAAAGCTCCCCACGGCAGAAAGGCCTCACTGGGGTGGGGCCACAAAGAGATGGGACAGCTCTCACGAACCACGAAACCCTGCACCCAGGCACCGACACGGCAGGGGGCAGCGCCAGCCCCCAGCACTGGTGTCGGGACCTCCCCAGGGCCTGCCCCCCCTCCACTTCCACGTGTGAACCGGCACCGGGCCCGGGGCTCTGCACGGGGGTGGGTGTCAG